AGTTACTGAGCCAAGGGACAGAAGAGAGAGAAACAGCAACGTCTGTCCTTTCATTGTTCTATCCGAGTGTCGTCTCAGGAGTATTCCACGGTCTGACTATATATCCCAAAAACCGCAATCCATTCTCTCGTAAAACGTCAACTTTGGAGCTGTATAATCCACACAGTTGAAAGAAAAGGCTTTGTTATCAGATACTTCCTTTATACCAAATGAACGGTGTTTCTCGTCGTGTTGTCTCTTCGTTATGTTCATTATGTCAATGGCACATGGGAGGTACTGCAACAATCCCACTCTCAGTCATCAACACCCTGGTCTACAGCGGCCCTAAGAGTCCATAATAGAAAACTGCAGAAACCTGATCTGTATAAATTTGTCCAGAGCATTTACTTTTAGATAAACCCAAATAGAAACAATGTTTAAATTAAGTTCTATCCTGTTTGTAAACTGTGTTGACACTTCAGAAATGTTCATGGTGATACTTTGTTTTTTTCAGTTTTCAGTCTTAATTACGTGTCTATAAAAACACAAGCCACGTCTACCAAAAAGCATAAAAATGTTTGAATTAAATGAGCAAATAACAAGAAACAAACACTAGACGATTAAACTAATGAAATAATGGATGAAAACGGGTAAGGAGAAGAAACAGCCGAGCAAAGAAATGTTGCTGTCCGAGGTTCTGAAATGATCAGTCTCTTAAGAGCCCAGCATCACTGTCCATTACAAGCGATTTAATTAAGACAAAATAACTGCATTGCAGAATTTTTCCATAAAAGTTATTAAAGAGTCAGTCTTTTTAAAATATATAAATAATATGACACAAGTAGAAATGTTATTCACGATAATTCAAAAAGACAAGACACAAAAACACTAATAAAATCTTTGTGTCTATGCTTCATATAACCAGTATTTGTTGCTGAAAGAAATAACATTAAATTTAAAAGTCCTTTTAAAAAGGCAATGTTAAAGTTATCCAATTCCTAAAAAAAGTTATCATTCTGCTTTACCAAACTATGCAGCGGGGTTAATATAATGCGCGTGAAAATAATGACAACCTATCAGCGATTGGGGAAAAAAGTATAGGATACTGTTCATGGCACTATCAACGCACTTAAACACTGACCAAGAAACTAAGTCAAAGAGAGGAAGCTGAAGTATTTAACTGACCTCTAGAGGAGAGTCAGGTTCATCCAGGATGCTCTTCTCACCCTGTACCCGCTGCATCGTCCCTGTAGAACTGGGGTCCATTATCAACACGTTCTGACTACCAGCTCCACCAAACTTACAGTCACTCTTCCTGGAGTCAGTCGTCCTACACACCTCGTAGTTGTACACGTGTTGGAGAGTCCCTGTCCCCAAAGTGTCTGAGTAACGTGGTGGATAATATGGAATCACAGGGAGATTGGAGTGATACAGGATGCGAGACTGTCTCCACCTGTAGATCTTCACTGATATAATAACCACTAAACAGGTGATGAAGAGGAAGGAAACTACAGCCAGAGCCAGCACTAAGTAAAAAGTCAGGTTGTCATTGTACTCCTTGTCGTGTGGAAAGTCAGTGAACTCCGACAGCACTTCAGGGAAGCTGTCCGCCACCGCCACGTTAACAATGACTGTAGCTGAACGAGAGGGCTGCCCGTTGTCCTCCACTATAACAGTCAGTCTCTGTTTCACTGTGTCTTTATCAGTCACCTGGCGGATAGTTCTGATTTCTCCATTCTGTAAGCCCACTTCAAACAGCGCCCTGTCTGTGGCTTTCTGCAGTTTATAGGAGAGCCAGGCATTCTGTCCAGAGTCCACATCAACAGCCACCACTTTAGTGACCAGATAGCCCACATCTGCTGAACGAGGCACCATTTCAGCCACCACAGAGCCTCCAGTCTGGACTGGGTACAGGACCTGAGGGGGGTTGTCGTTCTGGTCCTGGATCAGTATTTTCACTGTCACATTACTACTGAGAGGAGGAGAGCCTCCATCCTGAGCTTTGACACGGAAGTGGAAATCTTTGATCTGCTCGTAGTCAAAAGAGCGCACTGCATGGATGACTCCACTATCAGCACTAACGGACACATATGAGGAGACTGGCACTCCGTTAACAGAGGAGTCCTCCAGTATGTAAGAAACACGGGCATTCTGGTTCCAGTCAGCGTCTCTGGCTTTCACTGTGAATATGGAGAGACCTGGAGTGTTGTTTTCTACAATGTAGGCCTCATATGAGCTCCTCTCAAAGACAGGAGCGTTGTCATTGACATCAGAGATCTGTAAGGTGAGAGTGACGCTGCTGGAGAGGGAGGGCACTCCCTCATCAGAGCAGGTCACTGTGATGTTATACTCTGAAGATCTCTCTCTGTCTAATTCACTGTCTGTCATAACTGTAAAGAAATTATTTGTTGTTGATTTAATGGTAAAGGGAACATTTTCGTTTAAAACACAAATAACTTTTCCGTTGTCGTTTGAGTCTGCATCTTGAATATTAAGCATTGTTACGACAGTTCCGGGTTTCACGCTTTCAGATACTGCGTTTGCATTAGACATGATGTTAATAGACGGAGGATTATCATTCACATCTGTCACGTCCACAATTACTTTACATGCATCGGACAATCCTCCTTGATCTGAGACCTGAACGTCTAACTCGTAAAGCCTCCTCTTTTCATAATCTACATTTCCTTTTAATGTTACTACTCCATTATCAGTATCAATTTGAAAGAGACTTGCTGCTGCGGATTTGGGAATCATGTATGTTACTTTTCCGTTACTGCCTTTATCTTTGTCAGTAGCTTTAACAGTAGTTATTACAGTGCCAGCAGGAGCGTTCTCTGTAACACTTGCTTTGTATTCTGGCTTTAAACAAATTGGCGGATTGTCATTGACGTCTAACACAGTTATGAGTATCTGCATTGTCCCCGAAAGCTGTGGTTCACCCCCATCGAGAGCAGTTAGTATTAATGATAAATGCTCATGTTTCTCTCGGTCTAAAGGTTTCTGTAAAACCATCTCGACATGTTTAGTCCCATCTCCTCGGCTGATGGTTTTAAGAGCAAAATTATCACTGGGCTTCAGGGCGTAGCTGTTCAAGCCGTTGACATCAACATCATCATCTGTGGCTTTGTCCAAGACGAATCGCGCTCCAACAAGGGCTGACTCGCTAATTTCATATTTTATCTCGCCTCTCTCAAACGTAGGAGGGTTGTCATTTACATCGGTAATTTCGACAGTGACCGTGTAAAACTCCATTGGGTTTTCCAAGATCATTTGAAAATGGAGTGCGCAGGGTATTGTTTGGCTGCATAGAGATTCCCTGTCTATCCTGTCTTTAATGAGGAGGACTCCTCTTTCTCTATTCAGCTCAATGTATTCCTCAGTGTTACCAGTATAAATACGAGCTTTACCCGACTTCAATCTTTCCACGCCTAAACCTAAATCCTGGGCTATATTTCCTATCTGAGCTCCCCGTGCCATCTCCTCAGGAATAGAGTAGCTGACTTGGCCATGCACTACGCTAACAGAAAGCATCGAAATAAACAAGGGCACTTGCCATCCCATCGTTCCGGTCGACACGTCTGTGAAGAAAATGAGAAAATCCTCTCTTTCTTAGCTCCAGGTTCTTATTTTGACTTGTAGATAGACGTATATGGTCCTAAAAGTGGGACTTAACCTAATTTGTGGAACAAAAGAATCCCATTGTGCGGTGTTGGCTTCTGCTGTTGATGTGAGTCCCGCCTGTTAACACTGCCTCTCTCTATTTCCCAGTGAAATATGTTGAAGTATAGGGAGGTACTACATCAATGCTCTTTCAGCAACTCGATGGCCAACAGCGTCACTCTCTGTTCAGTGAACTTAACTACATGGCGTATTACTATGGCAACCAGAATAGAGAAGCAGAATAAAACACAAACGAATGATTTCCGAGTGATATGCTGAGTTTAAACCTTTTAAATCCTCTTTGTGTACAGTACTGTTAAATGACAGAGCGCCAAGGCAACTACTCAAACTAGAACAAAAGGACATAATACCTCTAAACAAAAAGGGCGCAAAAGACAAAAGTACAGTTACACGGGGACAAAATCAGCTACATACACCAAACTGCAAAACGGAATAAAAATGACAGAAAGTAAATCTTTTCTCAAGGCTCAATATAAATTATCAGCCCAGTGACTTAACCTTCATTCCCACTCTCCATGGTGCCGAACCCACTAAGTCCACTGTCCGTTTAAGTGTGGACCAGCAGGTTGTGTTTACTAAAATATACCAACAAATAAAAATAAATGTCTATTTCTAAGCATACAATTATAGATTCAATGGCAAGCCAATTACATATGAAAACTAATACCAATGAACAAGTAGGGGCAAACAAAACACACACACGTGCACACACATACCTTCAAACAAATCGATAGAGACAAAGGGGGGATGGATGAAAAAAGAAAATGGCAAAAATGATATTGTTTCAATTTTCCCTTAGTGGGACACACTGTATCTCTCAGACTCTAGACTGAAAAGGAAATACTGTGTGTGGGAAATTCGGGGGACATTTTTCATAAATATACTGTAAAGTTGAAAAATACAGACTCGAATTAGCTAAGTGGGGAGGCATCTTGCACAGTATGAGGCCTGTGCATTTTGTCAAGCATTTATTTCAGTGTACAGTCTTGGTGGAAAGCTTCAGGGTCAGTCTGAGGAGTAAGAAAGGCTACAGTACGTATAATATTCTTCACTTACATATAAAGGCGTCAATACCAATTTCAGACCACCTTGAAAAATCCCCAACCTATCCTTTAAGTTATTTCACTAACACAACAGATCTGTGCGCTGTCCACGGTTCTGAAACAGAACGACCATAAAATTCAATGCACATTGTAAACTTGAAATGAGTTAACAAATGCAAATGTAAAGACGTTTTCACTCACTGTGTTGCAACAACAGGCCACCGAGTAGTAGATGAACAAAACCTGTATATTTAGCAAAACTAACCTCTACAGGAGAGTCTGGTTAGAGAGTCCCTGTCCCCAAAGTGTCTGAGTAACGTGGTGGATAATATGGAATCACAGGGAGATTGGAGTGATACAGGATGCGAGACTGTCTCCACCTGTCGCTCTTCACTGATATAATAACCACTAAACAGGTGATGAAGAGGAAGGAAACTACAGCCAGAGCCAGCACTAAGTAAAAAGTCAGGTTGTCATTGTACTCCTTGTCGTGTGGAAAGTCAGTGAACTCCGACAGCACTTCAGGGAAGCTGTCCGCCACCGCCACGTTAACAATGACTGTAGCTGAACGAGAGGGCTGCCCGTTGTCCTCCACTATAACAGTCAGTCTCTGTTTCACTGTGTCTTTATCAGTCACCTGGCGGATAGTTCTGATTTCTCCATTCTGTAAGCCCACTTCAAACAGCGCCCTGTCTGTGGCTTTCTGCAGTTTATAGGAGAGCCAGGCATTCTGTCCAGAGTCCACATCAACAGCCACCACTTTAGTGACCAGATAGCCCACATCTGCTGAACGAGGCACCATTTCAGCCACCACAGAGCCTCCAGTCTGGACTGGGTACAGGACCTGAGGGGGGTTGTCGTTCTGGTCCTGGATCAGTATTTTCACTGTCACATTACTACTGAGAGGAGGAGAGCCTCCATCCTGAGCTTTGACACGGAAGTGGAAATCTTTGATCTGCTCGTAGTCAAAAGAGCGCACTGCATGGATGACTCCACTATCAGCACTAACGGACACATATGAGGAGACTGGCACTCCGTTAACAGAGGAGTCCTCCAGTATGTAAGAAACACGGGCATTCTGGTTCCAGTCAGCGTCTCTGGCTTTCACTGTGAATATGGAGAGACCTGGAGTGTTGTTTTCTACAATGTAGGCCTCATATGAGCTCCTCTCAAAGACAGGAGCGTTGTCATTGACATCAGAGATCTGTAAGGTGAGAGTGACGCTGCTGGAGAGGGAGGGCACTCCCTCATCAGAGCAGGTCACTGTGATGTTATACTCTGAAGATCTCTCTCTGTCTAATTCACCGTCGGTTGTTAAAGTGAAGAAATTATTTGACGTTGAAGCAATTGTGAAGGGAATGTTCTCGTTAATGTAACACTGGACCTTTCCATTTTTACCCGAGTCAGGATCTTGAATATTTATCATGGTAACAACTGTTCCAGGTTCAATATCCTCTTTTATTAGACTGGACTTTGACATGACATTTATTGCAGGTGTATTATCATTTATGTCAGTTATCTCTACTATAATTTTACATGAATCAGTTAGCCCCCCTTCATCACTAGCCTGGACATGTATTTGATATTGCTGCTTTTTTTCGAAGTCAGTTTTGCCAATTAATCTAACTTCTCCAGTCTCTCTGATTATTTCAAAAAGGTCGGACACATTGTCCAGTAGATTTAGTATAGCATAAGATACTTCGCCATTAGATCCTTCATCTGAATCATGAGCGCTGACAGTCACGACTTGTGTTCCCGATGGTGAATCCTCTCTTATGGTGGATTTGTAAGTTTTGTGCGTAAAAACGGGAGCATTATCATTACTATCAAGCACATTTACATGTACCTGAACAGTTCCGGAGAGCCGCGGCTCACCAGCGTCTACTGCAGTCAGTATAAGCGACAAATGATCCTCATTTTCTCTGTCTAAAGGTTTTTGCAACACCATTTCTACCATTTTGCTTCCATCTGCTTGATTTTGCAGCCTCAAAATAAAGTTATCGGTTGGCTTTAAGAAATAATTTTGAAGGCCATTCACACCAACATCCAGATCTGTTGCCTGCTGCAACAAGAAAACCGCTCCTGGTATAGCTGACTCACTTATCCTGAATTTCATTTCACCTCTTTTAAAAATCGGGGCGTTGTCGTTAATATCTGTAACTTCGACGGTAATGCTATAAAACTCCATAGGATTTTCTAAAATAACTTGGAAATGCAAAGCACAGGGCGCAGTCTGCGCGCAGATCACCTCTCTGTCTATTCTGTCTTTAACAAGGAGGACCCCCCTCTCTTTATTCAACTCGATGTACTCTGCACCGTCGCCCGTATAAATGCGAGCTTTTCCTGAGTTCAATCTTTTCACATCCAAACCCAAATCTTGCGTAACATCCCCAACGAAAGAGCCTTTCGGCATTTCCTCTGGGATGGAGTAGCTGACCTGCCCAGTCACTGAACCGAAATGGAGAACCAAGATAAACAGCAGCACTTGCCATCTCATTGTTCTGTCCGTCGTGTTCCAGTAAAAAGAGCCGCTTAATATTCCCGAACAAAATGAATTTGTCTTCAAAAGTAATATCTTTTTACGTCCTCTTGGAGTTTTAAATAAACATTTAAGGCATAAGTACAAAAATTAAAGGGAGATCGTTCGTACAAATGAAGGTTTAGAGCAATGATCTTCGTGTTTTGTAGTGTTCCTTGTGCCTTTCTCCCGTTCTCTGTCTGAAATGACGTGGGAGGTACTGCTGACTTACTCTTCTTAGTAACACAGACTGGTCAACAGCGGCCCTAAGAGTTCTTCAAGCTGAACTACAGAATACTATGGAAGATGGAAAATAGTTTTGACGAGTTTTATATTCATGTCATCCGGTTTCTTATATTTTATCCTATACAGAAAAAAATAATCTTTGTAATATTTGTTATGTGTCTTCTTTGGTTTATTTGTGTTTGATGAGTCTGAATGGTCAACCTTAAACGGTGTGAGGAGGAAAATAACAAAAGAAAAACTACCACGTTAGTCTTTACGATTTAGTAGGAATCCGTGATAATGATGTAGACCTGCCGTAATAAGAGATGCAAAAATGCCTTTTCATGTTACACACACACCCATACAAGCTTTTCTCTAGTGAATATAGCACTTCCAAGTATAACATTACAGCAATGAGATGACTGCTTTACAACATGAAAAATAGCGCTAAAAAAGAAACAATTATAAAAGCTCAAATGCACTGTTTAAGATTTGATGCTCTCTGCTTGCACCGAGAAAAACTATACAGATGAAAAACACAAGATGTAAAATCTATAGAGAGCACAAAAAGCAGAAACTACCTGGACAATGGAGAAAATGAAAGCTTTACCAAGAACATAACAAATTGTACTGAACATAAGCAAAAATTGTATTTTGAAAAGATCTGTTTATGTGAAAATAAGTTTAATGTTTCAAACATTGGAAGGGCTCTTCTGTGATCCAATACATGGTTACACATAAATAATCAGTCTAACCTCTATTACAGATGCAGACTGGGAAGCTGTCTATGGTGCTGAATTGAAGGGGTACTAAAACAACTACTACTATTAATGGAAACAACAAGAAGAAATTATTTTCGGTTCCTCCCCATCCTCATGGTCTTACCCTCAATAAGAAGTCTGTTTATAATCATTATTATTATCGTTGTTTTTTTCATCTAATGAGGAAAGTTTGGCATTAAAGTTCATCTTGGCAATAAACGTGAAATACACCATACATGTCATAGAAATTTAACTAGCTCATAATGTAATAAAGACTACAATCAGGTCTATTAAATGGACCTTTAAACTGTATTTTTCTGATTGCTATTAAATAGAAAACACAGTGCAATATGAATTTCATTTTAAAACACCACGACAGAAAAAAACAGTATTAAAGCAGTCAAACCTCTAGAGGAGAGTCAGGGTCATCCAGGATGCTCTTCTCACCCTGTATCCGCTGCATCGTCCCTGTAGAACTGGGGTCCATTATCAACACGTTCTGACTACCAGCTCCACCAAACTTACAGTCACTCTTCCTGGAGTCAGTCGTCCTACACACCTCGTAGTTGTACACGTGTTGGAGAGTCCCTGTCCCCAAAGTGTCTGAGTAACGTGGTGGATAATATGGAATCACAGGGAGATTGGAGTGATACAGGATGCGAGACTGTCTCCACCTGTAGATCTTCACTGATATAATAACCACTAAACAGGTGATGAAGAGGAAGGAAACTACAGCCAGAGCCAGCACTAAGTAAAAAGTCAGGTTGTCATTGTACTCCTTGTCGTGTGGAAAGTCAGTGAACTCCGACAGCACTTCAGGGAAGCTGTCCGCCACCGCCACGTTAACAATGACTGTAGCTGAACGAGAGGGCTGCCCGTTGTCCTCCACTATAACAGTCAGTCTCTGTTTCACTGTGTCTTTATCAGTCACCTGGCGGATAGTTCTGATTTCTCCATTCTGTAAGCCCACTTCAAACAGCGCTCTGTCTGTGGCTTTCTGCAGTTTATAGGAGAGCCAGGCATTCTGTCCAGAGTCCACATCAACAGCCACCACTTTAGTGACCAGATAGCCCACATCTGCTGAACGAGGCACCATTTCAGCCACCACAACCTGAAATCTGCTCATTATTACTGACTGGGGGTTGTCGTTCTGGTCCTGGATCAACTTGGCTCTGAGTCGTTCTGTAAACCTTTTAATCCCCTTTTAAATGTATCATAAATCCACTGTCAAAACAGGGTCTTGAAAATCTTCCAAGAGTAGTTCAAAAGTGACCGTCCAATGTCTTGGTATTTAATTTCTGTTGGATCATCCGCATCAGTGCTTTCTTGCATCTCTCCGTCTTTCTTCTGTCTCTAATATACAGAGATGATGGGAGGTACTACATCTGGTGTAAGACTGATACATACTAGTCAACAGCGTCTCTCTGAGTTCGAGGTCGAAACTACAAGAGAAATGCTCATACAATCTTAAGAGAAGTAATGTTTAGATTGAGCTAAATCATCTGAAACACCGATGCTGGTACAACAAAGTAAAAGTGAGACAATCTATTTACATTAGCCTACAGAGAAAAAGGCTGAGCGCGTTTTTGTGAGGGCAAGGAGTGATACAATCTAAACTCCTGGTAATGAAACGTAAAAATCATAGGAAGGGTGACATCAGAAGGCTAAATTAAGGCACATTAATAAGATTTAAATTCCTCAAAAAATCTGGTTCACTGGAAAACAATGTCTCTGTCCATGGTGCTGATAGAAAACTGAACAGCGACTGTTTATAACTTGATAAATTATATATGAACACACATATAGAACACATTTACAACCCTATTTAACTGACCTCCAGAGGAGAGTCTGGTTCATCCAGGATGCTCTTCTCACCCTGTATCTGCTGCATCGTCCCTGTAGAACTGGGGTCCATTATCAACACGTTCTGACTACCAGCTCCACCAAACTTACAGTCACTCTTCCTGGAGTCAGTCGTCCTACACACCTCGTAGTTGTACACGTGTTGGAGAGTCCCTGTCCCCAAAGTGTCTGAGTAACGTGGTGGATAATATGGAATCACAGGGAGATTGGAGTGATACAGGATGCGAGACTGTCTCCACCTGTAGATCTTCACTGATATAATAACCACTAAACAGGTGATGAAGAGGAAGGAAACTACAGCCAGAGCCAGCACTAAGTAAAAAGTCAGGTTGTCATTGTACTCCTTGTCGTGTGGAAAGTCAGTGAACTCCGACAGCACTTCAGGGAAGCTGTCCGCCACCGCCACGTTAACAATGACTGTAGCTGAACGAGAGGGCTGCCCGTTGTCCTCCACTATAACAGTCAGTCTCTGTTTCACTGTGTCTTTATCAGTCACCTGGCGGATAGTTCTGATTTCTCCATTCTGTAAGCCCACTTCAAACAGCGCCCTGTCTGTGGCTTTCTGCAGTTTATAGGAGAGCCAGGCATTCTGTCCAGAGTCCACATCAACAGCCACCACTTTAGTGACCAGATAGCCCACATCTGCTGAACGAGGCACCATTTCAGCCACCACAGAGCCTCCAGTCTGGACTGGGTACAGGACCTGAGGGGGGTTGTCGTTCTGGTCCTGGATCAGTATTTTCACTGTCACATTACTACTGAGAGGAGGAGAGCCTCCATCCTGAGCTTTGACACGGAAGTGGAAATCTTTGATCTGCTCGTAGTCAAAAGAGCGCACTGCATGGATGACTCCACTATCAGCACTAACGGACACATATGAGGAGACTGGCACTCCGTTAACAGAGGAGTCCTCCAGTATGTAAGAAACACGGGCATTCTGGTTCCAGTCAGCGTCTCTGGCTTTCACTGTGAATATGGAGAGACCTGGAGTGTTGTTTTCTACAATGTAGGCCTCATATGAGCTCCTCTCAAAGACAGGAGCGTTGTCATTGACATCAGAGATCTGTAAGGTGAGAGTGACGCTGCTGGAGAGGGAGGGCACTCCCTCATCAGAGCAGGTCACTGTGATGTTATACTCTGAGGATCTCTCTCTGTCCAATTCACTGTCTGTCACTAAAGTAAAGAAATTATTTGAAGTCGACGTGATTTTAAAATAAACATTTTCATCTAAAATGCAGTGAACTTTGCCATTGTCGTTTGAATCTGGATCTTGAATGTTCATCATTGCCAGAACTGTGCCTGGTTTAACATCTTCAGATATCCTGGATGACGCTGACATAATATTTATAGCTGGTGGGTTGTCGTTTGTGTCCAGCACCTCAATAATAACTTTACACACATCTGAGTTTCCACCTTCATCTGATGCTTGAACATCTATCTCATAATGCCGAAATTTCTCATAATCAAGATTTCCCATTAACGTAACCACTCCGTTTTCTTTATCTACATGAAATAATTCTGTAGCGCCTTCATTAGTAATTGTATACTCTATATGCCCATGTCGACCTTCATCTGCATCAGATGCGCTCACTGTGGTTAAAGCTGTTCCTTTTAATGAGTTTTCTTTTACATTAGTCCTATACTCAGCTTGAGTACAAACAGGTGCATTATCGTTTGCGTCTAACACAGTAATAACAATCTGCATGGTTCCAGAGAGCTGCGGGTCGCCACCATCTGTGGCAGTTAATACTAAAGACAAACGCTCCTGTTTCTCTCGGTCAAGAGCCTTTTTCAGAACCATTTCAACGTTCCTACTGCTGCCAATTCTATAAGGGTTTAAAGTGAACGTGTCACTGGAACTCAGAGAATAGCCCTGGAGACCATTAATACCTACATCGATATCAACGGCCTTTTCTAGGACAAATTTCGAGCCAATTTGAACCGTCTCACTAATTTCAAACTTCATTTCATTGTTTTTAAACCCGGGTGAATTGTCATTAATGTCGGTGATCTCAACAGTGATGCTGTAAAACTGCATAGGATTCTCCAAAATGATTTGAAAATCAAGAGCACAGGGCGTCGTCTGCCCGCAGAGTGTCTCTCTGTCTATCCGCTCTTTGATTACAAGGAGTCCCTTTTCTTTACTCAGCTCGATGTATTCTGTGCCTTCTCCTGTATATATGCGTGCTTTCCCGGATTTCAGCCGTTTAATGTCTAAGCCTAAGTCGTGTGCTATGTTCCCAACCAAAGAACCTTTCGCCATTTCCTCGGGAATGGAGTAGCTGACCTGCCCGAACACCGAGCTGAGAGAAGCAAGCGACATAAACAACAGTAAGGCTACTTGCCGTTTCATTGTTCTGTCCGATATTCTCTGATAGTCTGAAGGAAGTGCTATCAAATCCGCTGCCCACAAAAAAATCTTTCAGACACAAATGTATTCAAAATATTCATGAGTCGACACTGAAAACAATGCTGATAATCTGCCTGGCACCTCCGCGTTTCATCACCTCGTTCCAAACGGTGTCTTCGTCCATGTTTTATTCTCTGTCTCCCTATCATTTCGAGATGAGGTGGGGAGGTACAACTACAATGAGCTCTCAAGTCTCCGCAGATTGGTCAACAGCGTCCCTGTGAGTTGGATGCACTGAACTACACATTATAGGGGAATTCCTCTTTCCCCACTGCATTTCATGAAGTAGACCCCAATATGATCAAAAGCTTTAATTATGTTTGAACGTTAACTTGTAACACAACTGCAGACCTCAATGTAATGTGACATTACGTTTTATCAATTTGAAGCTGATTTTAATCCTTCACTGTTACACAGGCACGCACACGCACACGGTGAGCCAGATATATGGAGACAAAGAGGAGAAACAAATCAGCAACACCAGAACGTCAGGTTCTACAGAATGCTCCGCTGTCCATGGTGCTGAAAGGCACAGGCCGGACAGGGGTGGACGGAAGACAGGACATTTTACTCTTAAAGAGTAAATTTATGTATTTAATGGTGACTAGAATGTGGTAGTTTAAAAGTATAAATGACAATAATAAAAAATGGCGTCTTATAGCAAAAAAAAATGTATCTCAATTTAAACTCAAAGATTTCGGGGTTTAAACAGGTGGTAACACTTTACAATAAGGGTACATTAATTAACCGTACTTAATGCAGTAATAAGCATTAACTAATAGGTAACTAATGCATTTATTAATCATAAATGGTAATACTAGTAAATTGTCAATAAAGATATTAACATTTGTTTCACGAAGTTCACAGCTTAGCAGTTTCATTAGGAGAAGGCTGTTTTAACTGTCCACTTACTTGTCCATCCTCCAACCAACGGATTCACTTTGTCCTCGCTCCACGTTCATCTAAGGTGGTATCTTCCAGCTTCTGATTGACTGAACACACCTGATTCAGGTATGCAGCAGTGGGCAGGGCATGGATAGTTGGAAAGCATGCACGGTGGTAGCTCTCGAGGACCTGACTTGCCCACCCTGCTGTATACTGTAAGCATTACTTACTCATAATTACGCATTTATTAATGCTCTTTAAAACTGTATAACAGTAGTGAGTAACCATTACTTAACCTTACTTAACCATTTGTTAATGCTCTCTGTGACGCTTATTGTAAAGTGGGAACCATATATGCATGAACTAACACTTCATAAATGTATCACAGTGGTGAGTAACCATTACTTAACCTTACTTAACCATTTGTTAATGCTCTCTGTGACGCTTATTGTAAAGTAGGAAACATATATGCATGAACTAACACTTCATAAATGTATCACAGTGGTGAGTAACCATTACTTAACCTTTATTA